CATATGCAGCTGCTGGGGGCTTAAGGGCCACTGCAGAGTGTGTCCACATTGCATTAGGACACTGTCAGTTGTTGGAAGCTCGTGGTCTTGCACTTTCCTCCGTGCTTCTGAAGCTGTTCAGACCTACTGTTGTGCAAGCACTGGATGCCAACTTGAAATGGATTGAGGAGACTACGGCTGCTTTCGCCGCAGCTGATGATTGGGAACTCACTTATCCTCCTACTTCCATGCGTCAATCTACGGTGTATCAATATAAACTTTCTATTAGTGCTCACCGGTTTAATTCAATGGTTCAGGTAACATCTTTTCCTTGATATTTGTCTAAGGAAAGAAATTGAGATGAAAAAAGTAAACAAATAGAAAACTGTTTTACACATTCATAGTACTAGTCCGGGATTGATAGGTATATGTGGATTCAAGTAAAGTTTGTCCTCCCTTCTACCCTGTTACTAGTCAGCATTCCAACTCTATCCATCATGTGTTCTTGGGCTAGTTGGTAACCTTTATTCTGCAATACTAATTCTTAATAACTATTGTACTAAAGTGCTGCAAGCTATGTTCTAGTTATCTACCCAAAAAATAACTGAATGAAACTATAAATGGCAGTCCAGCGCACATTGATGTCCCTGCACATTGGCGTCCCCGCAAGGTGAGGGTCTAGGGAAAGGTCCCACCACAAGGAGCAAGCCTTCCCTTGTCATTTTGACAAGAGGCCACTCCCAAGACTTGAACCCGTGATGTCTGTATTCATCTTTATTATTACAATCATATCTGAGTATGTACCCCCACCCTGTCAAACCTGTCAAAGGAAACATTTGTTGAAAAAAACTTATTTGCTTCTAATTTAATGTTTTTAAACAATGACTGACATGGTGTTACTGCCTTTGAGATTTCTTTAATTTGTATGGTGCTAATATCTACTGGAGGTAGATGATTGATTCAAGTTACCCCAATTGCTCCTGCAGGATTTCTTTGAGGATGTGGCTCCCCTGCAAAGTATGCAGTTGGGTTCAAGGGCTTTAGAGGGATTGTTTAAGATCTTCAAATCTTATGTAAATATGCTGATAAAAGCATTGCCTGGTTCTTTGGAAGAAGAGATTAATGATGAAGGTTCAGGAAATACAGCTGTCCGAATGGCCGAGACCGAAGCCCAGCAAATCGCTTTACTTGCCAATGCATCATTACTAGCAGATGAGTTATTGCCACGCGCAGCCATGAAACTTTCCTTCACTCAGAAGGATGAAACTCAACGGAGGCCTGATAGGCAAAGCCGACAACCTGAACAAAGGGAATGGAAAAAGCGTCTAGTTAGCGTTGTTGATAAATTAAAAGACAGTTTTTGTCAACAGCATGCGCTGGATCTTATTTTTACGGAGGAAGGAGAAAGTCACCTTACTGCAGATATGTATATAAACATGGAGGATGGTAATGCAGATGTGATGGAATGGTTCCCTTCTCACATATTCCAGGTAACTTTACCTTCTTGATCAGCATTTTTATCGTTACAATCATTACTTCCTCCATCCCCAAAAATAATTCCTATTTGAACACTTGCTCCCCCCCCCCCCCTAAATGGTCCTATTTGAACAAAAGATGCTAATTTTCATCATATTTAATGCCTTAAAAAAGTCTCCCAAACAAGTTAAATTAGTCAGACTTAGTCAAACCAACAAATAAATTTTTAAATATAGCTGAAATGGATGACCTCCAATAGTTGTACCGTACTAAAATCTATTTTTATCGTTACTGTTATTACTATATCCATCCCCAAAAAAGGTCCTATTTGAACCAAAGAAGTCTCCAAAACAAGTTAAATATCTCAAACTCAGTCGCAACGAATAAATTTTAAAATATAGCCAAAATTTGAAAATTGTTGACTTCCAATAGTTGTACCTTACTAAAATCCGGTTACATGTGATAAGTTTAGTTAAGCCAATATTTAAATTTAAAAAATATAAACATAATTCGTAATTTATGACAGTTGTATATCACACAAATCTTAAAAAATGTAAATTAACCAAACACGACTCTTTTATTAGACGGAGATAATATTATTTTCACCATGAAGACATGATATTTCTGTTATAGTTCTTGTTATTGAAAAACAAAGGCATTTCAATGGCTTCATATGATTGTTTATATTGTGCCATTAGGAACTGTACGTGAAGCTAAAAAGAGTAGCTGAAATTACGGAAGAGATGTTTGTGGGGCGGGAAAGGTTTGCAACATTGTTGTTGATGAGGCTCACTGAAACTGTCATCTTATGGATTTCACAAGATCAGAGTTTTTGGGATGATATTGAGGAAGGACCAAAGGCTTTGGGACCTCTTGGCCTTCAGCAGGTTTACATGATTTGTATTCTCAACCGATTTAAACACATACCATTTTATGTATTCAATGGCGATAAGGTTAATGCTTTCTTGTTTGTCTTTGTGTAGTTCTATTTGGATATGACATTTGTCAGATTCATTGCTTCAAAAGGCCGTTATATGTCTAGGAATTTGCTCCGTGTTGTCAATGATATCATATCTAAAGCAATGGCTGCATTTTCTGCAACAGGGCTGGATCCAGACAGGTATATAAAACAAATTATTTTGTTTAGGACTAATGGGCATTTGGTGCTATAAGTATTAGTTCAGTGGATCATCCATAATCCTCAGACCTTCAGGTTTCATTTGGGAGTTGCATTTTGAACGGGAAGATACTCTAGGTATTTTGCTTTTAGGGAAGTATTGTTCTGATGAGATGAATTACGGAGTATCAAAGTAAAAAATACTACCTCCGGTTGGAGTTGGGCTGGGGAAAGGATTGGTATCCCAGATTAAATCTCCTTTCCCTAGGCATGGACCGATTCCGGTCTGCCCGGCCCGGGAACCGGACCGGCCCGTCACTGTGCGGGACCGACCCGGACCGGTTGCCCGGGACCGGGCCCGTGCGTAGGATCCGACCCGGGGGTGTTTTGGGGGCGGGCTCGGGCTGCAGCTTTTTTTGGAACCGGCCCGGCCCGGTCCCGGTCTGGGCCAATTTTTTTTTTCAAAGTCTTTGGGTGGTAGGCGGGTTGGGCTGGGTGTTATGGAGGGGTGTGGGGGTAGGAATAAATTAGAAAAGCAAAAAAAAAAACGCTACCCGACCCCGGGCCGGTTCCGGGACTTAACCCCCAATACAAAAGCCCGACTTGTTAAAACTACACGCTCCATAAATTACAGCAGTAGTTTCTTTTTGCAGCGTTCTTCCAGAAAATGAGTGGTTCGAGGACATGTGCCAAGATGCAATGAATAAGCTTAGTGGAAGTGCTAAAGCCTCAAATGGGGAACGAGATTTGAGTAGTCCTACTGCTTCTGTATCTGCCCAATCAATTTCCTCTTTTAGATCTCATGGCAGTTATTAGTGTTTGGTAATTTAATCTTCTCCTTGCACCAATTGAACATATTTACGTATACGAGTTTTCAACGAGGTTGTATTAGCTTTTTCTGTTTTTTTTTTATGCAATAATTGCCCGAGTTTTTTAGCCTTTAAGCTCTTCTGTTCGGTATTTCTATGTTTATTGTTAGTTGTTACAATAATTGTTACTCTCACTCTACCCAAAGCATCATTCTTATTTTCATGTTCATTCTTATTGTTAGTTGTTACAATAATTTTTAGCCTACAAGCTCTTCTGTACGGATGGTATTGTTTTTCATCTTTTTGATCAAGCAGTATCATTCATTTTCATGTTCTTAATAATCAATGTCTACTTCAACTAAAAAAACTCTGAGCAATACAGTTTTGTTATTTGATTATTTTTATTATTATTAAATTTTTCTCATAAAGAATTTACGATTACTTGCGTTTTTGACGAGATTGTCTCTAGTTTCACAAGGCCACGTGGCCCACGTCTGGTTTGGTTGAAGTTACTATTCAAGTTCATGTGAAATACGTAGTACCTATTAAGATTAAACTCGTTCGACCGATTGACATGGCAAAATCACGCTTTTTCTTAATTGCCAAAGACTATTTTACCTACATTCTTTATAGGGGTGGACTCGGGTCCGTGCCGGGTCCGGGTCGGGCCTAGGTCCGGGCGGGCCGGCGGTTCAGGAATGGTGGACCCGGGACCGGCCTGGGTAGCCACCGGGTCCGGGCTGGACCTCCGGTTTGGGTATTTTTTTTTTGTCCTAACCCCCCCCCCCCCCCCCCCCCCACCCTCCAAACCCATCCTAACCATCCAGACTTGACCCATGTACCCGGCAGGTCTAGAACTAATGTTTCGGACCCATACCCATTGGGTCTCGGAACCGGGTCGGGTAGACCCAACCTGTCTCACGAAAATCCAATTCTAATTTCTTAAATAAAAAATGACCTCTTACTACTGAGTACTTTTCTGGCAACAATATGGCACATGAATTGTAATTACTTGTCTATAATTACTCAACCAAATGCAACAATTGTGAGTTGGTTTATAATTTGCAAGATACGTAATGTTAGAATAAAGAGTAAAATAAATGGTTTTAGAAACTGAACTGGTTTTTTCTTGAATCCTCTGCGGTCTGCGGACCGTAGGATCTCTAGGGATCCTTCTTCGAATTTATTAAACTAAATCATAATGTGGACGGTAACTAATGTAATATGTATATTAGATTAATGTGTATATATATATATATAAATAAATATTAACGGGTCGGAACTACATATACCATACCCGACCCATTAAATAATTGGGTCCGGATCCAGATCTGGGTAACGGAATTAAATGTAGACCCATAACCGTTAAAAAAGACAGATCCGGGTCGGGTTTGGGTTTGGACCCAACACATTGACAGGCCTAGCCCAACCCGAGTCCAACACTAATTCTTTAGTTGCATATTTTTGTTAATTCATTAGAAAAAATAAAAGTAAATATATATGTACTTCCTCTTGTTCTTAATTAAGTTACTGCTTTTCTTTTTTGGATGTTCCGAACAAGTTTCTACTCTCTTATTTGGCAAACAAATCTACATCAATGCAAATATGCAATGTCAAAATAGTGTCACAATAGTAAAATCTATTCCTCAGTAAATTTATTTTCTTAATATGTGAAGCAAACTATTTACATAGTCGTTTAAGCCATACGAAATTCAATAACCACATAGAGACATTGAGTACTCTCTGCAACTCTACAAGTACTTGACTACTTGAGCAAAACCATCACTCTATCTCTAACTTGTAATTAAAATCATAGTTACATCCTTCTAATTAATTGTCTAGACAGTGGTGAGGGGGCCCTTCAAGAATGAAGTTTTGTCCTTTTTTTAATACATGGTATAAATCAATCGGGAATACAATATAATCACAGCTTAAACTTAGATACAGTTCATCCAAGCTCCACGTGTCCAAAGTGGGGCTGTGGGGGTGTGCTCTCCCTTACAAATGCCACCAGATTGGCAGTTCCAAATTCCCAATGCTGAAGATTACGGATCGTCTTATGAAAACTTGGCATCATTCCCATTGTTAATATTTAATAACAAGCAATTGTTTGGAATTTCTAATGCTGTGTCCATGCTTTTGATCATCCTTTTTATTTTAGAATTAAAAAATAACAAACCCAATGGATCACTTCATTCACTTTGTATCATAATTGGAATGTGAATGAGTAAAAATGAGAAGCGACGTTTTTAACACTAGAATTAACACTAGAATTGGCTGAATCACTAAAATATGCTTAAATTTATAAAATTCTGACTTAAGTGACGTTTGAATATGTTGAAATAAGAAAAAAAATTAAAGTATGCGCATTATACTATTAATAAAACAAAGAAAAAGTTCATGAAAAACAAATAATTCAACAAACCTCAACCAATTCAACCAGAAAAATAACTTCAACTCACTTATTTATTTTGATTATTTCACAGTTCAACGCTTAAAGTCAAAAATTACATGTCAAAGGACTATTAAGCTGAAAATAGAAGTTACCAAACGAATGTTGTATGCAATGATTATTATGTTACATACTTGCACTTAGCAGTAATAATAATCGCAATAATGAAACCTGCCAAGGTAGGATTACTAGGATAAAACCAATAATCCGGTTCCAAGTAGGTTCTAGCTATAGCTTACTTTTTCAAAAAATAAAAAATAAAAAATAAATAATGGAGGAACTACAACTGTTTACACACCAAACATGGGCGCCAGTTCAGTCTTTTACCTGCCCAGTTGTGGAACTGGGTCCAGACTACACTAAAGTTGGGATGCATCACTATGCAGTATAAACAAAAAAGTGATCTTATACTTTGTATAAACTTAAATCACAAGATACAATGTTGTACCTTTCAAGGGTAGACCGTAGACACAACTCGAACCATCTATATCTTAACCTGTTCAGTTTTGTTTTATGACATTTATAGTTGTGGTTTTTGAGATACATAGTGGAGGAAATATCATTTTTGCACTGTCAAGGCATAATATACCCCATCAGAAACTTTCTTAAAATTGAATTTCTAATATTTTTACCTTCGAAGTGTAAATTACACTACAAGAAACACAACTTGTCACTTGTATATAAATTCAGCAGAAAGCCCCTACTATCTGCTATCATAATCACACTAGACTCAATGTGGCTGATGAGAATTTTAAAACACGCGGGAGAAACAGTAAATGCTAATCCCAAATTAAGTTTGGTTCCAGTAATTACTTCTGATGTAAGTAATTGACAGGAGGAAATTGACAAAAAGTATAGAGAACAAATTTAGTAATGGAAGGTACACTGCAGTGGGAAAATCTTTACCTTGAAAATAAATACACACTTTAAGGAGTATGTCTCAACACCCCCGTCCCAAAATAATTGGAGCACTCTCTTGCTTAAAGAGCCCAATGAGAGCCGGCAATTTAGCAAGGCTCCATGTTATAATGCCAATCCCCCCATCGCACACACGGAGAAATTTAATATACCTGATTGAAGACTTTGCATTGCTGGCTTGGCTTGATGTCCCATAACTTTGTAAACAAAACCTGCAAAAAGAACATGGGTTGGAGATTCTCTCCATCACTGTGATTTGAGAACCTGGACATTGGTGTGTTATTAAACTGAACCAATGAGGTGAGAGTAGAAATGATCCCATTATTGAAATCTAATAACGGTAGAAATGAAAAACTCCATTGTAGATCATGACCATGATGTAGATTTCTAGAAATATGTTAATCATGATCGTGTAGATTGTAATAGCAAAACCCTATTAGTAAACAAAATCAGTGTAGATGTCTATTCAATTTGTGTCATGATGTGCAAATGATTTTTCAGTGGGAGTCATTTCAAGGGCATTATGGGATGGAAAGTTAGCTAGTTGTCTGATTAAACCAGAAAATGGACAATAACAAATGTTATGAGAGTATAGAAAAAGCAACATCCATGACAACTTAGGGTATTAATGGCAAAGTGAAAAGTCAAAGCACACAATTACTACGCTACAAATTACATGTGCCCTTGCTTATATCTAACAAAAAGAACATTAACCCCATGCATTAGCTTTTTCTCGTGATGCCCCTGCTTCAAATGCATGCTCTGGATAATAAACTATGATATGCTAATGATGATGCCACGGTTTGCATTCATTGACACACATAAGAAGAGATGTTAATGCTGATGATGACTTGATGACATGAAACAGCTGGCATGATGCATCCTATCATGTAAGGATTTGTATTTGTCATAACATAGAGAACAGAATACATCCCCTTCTTCCAGCTACTGGTATGTCACCGGTGGAGCTCCATTTGCAGCATCAGAAGCAGGAGCAGGAACAGAAACAGGAGTTGGGCCAGGTGCAGGGGCAGGGGACATGTTGTTGAAATCCCTCCTTTTCCCAAATGGATTCTTTGAATATGTAACTACATGTTAAAAAAAACCTTTGACATCCATGTGAAAATTCTCAGCTTCTAGGGCATAGTACTATAAGACGTTGTGCATAAAAACACCATATGCTTCTCTACCTAAAACAGTTATGACTTTTGACAACCCTTTTCCGATTTGACTAACTCTGTCTACCTTTATATATTAGAAAAATCAATATTGACAAGGAAAATTTTATATCCCGTAACCAGATGAAAAAAGTATCAATGATCTGCGCCATCAAAGTTTAATGATTTTAAAATATACTCCATTTAGAGAAAGTGATAAATTTTCAGTTACAGTTTACTCTGGAGAATCAAGCTATCACATGCAAAAATAGCAAATATGGGGCATAGTGTGTCTTTTAAACTTAACCGCCCTGGTGCAATATTTAAAAGGGAACAATGGGAATGGGAAGATGTAGAAAGGATATTGAATTCGCATGCCAACTGAACCAGAACTAGGTATAACAGCACCCTGCAAAGTCTGGTGCACATTGGTAGCACTCGGCACATCCTGAACAATGACGTGACATGAAAGTGATGAGGGGAAACATATATATCAGACACTTCATCATAAAATAACTAGAACAAGTATCTGAAAGCAGCTTCAACTGCATGGCAGGTATAGACTTACTTCAAACTCAATGAAACATACAGTATGCCTGTCTTGTCTCAATACCTTCATCTGCTTATAACCAGGTTGACTGTCCAGAAAAATAACGAAACAGAAAAAACAAGATATTAACGGGAGTGAAAATGTGTTATAAGAAAATGCAGATTAAAAGGAGGAAAAAATCCAAGGTGCATACACAGTGAAAAGGCCCCTCAACTCTTCCTCATTTATGTTCTCTCCAAGATTTCCGATGAAAAGTGTATTGCAAGGAGGGTTGTCTTTCATATTCTACAAGTTTAAACTAGTCACCAACAACTTGCATAAGCAGGAAAAAACTTAAAATGCACGCATTGTTGTCACAGTACCTGGACAGGCACATAGCTGCTTGGTGAAGCATGTATAGGAGCAGGAACAGGCATTGGAACAGGCTGAACATGGTAACCAACGTATGGATCATATGGTTGAGGTGGTGGGGCCATGTACCTGAGCAACATATTGGTATATTACTATGTAGATTCGCCATAAAGCATGATGACAATGATACAAGCCATCTGACCGACTTAAATTCAGTGCACTGATCATTAGATGCAGGATAATTCTTACGCTTGTGGGCCCCAAACAGGTGCAGGAGGAGGGTGAAAAGGAGATGGGCTGGCGTACCCAGTATGCGTATAATCACCACCAGTCCGCATCCGTTTGCTCTGGTCATAAGCATTTGAATCGGTAACAATTCCTGCACATAAATGATTATTGACGGAAATGAATAGTTAGAAAAAACATGTGCACTGGTTTATGATTTATGATACTCCCATTAATCTACTACAATGTGAAGCAGCTCTCCACAGTGCATAACATAGTGCACTTTGAGGAAACAGCATATATTGAACAAAATATATACTTTCCTAGTAGTAAAAATTCCCTTTTGGCATGCTACATTATAGACGTTTCTTATTTTACATGCATATATAATAGAGTTGCATGCAATGAGAGACCAACCTCAAACATAAGAATTGATATACAAAAAACTACCTCTTTTGACAAACAAATTCTTCTTTGCCATCTCAGTGTGAAGTACAGATTTTGACTCTGTGTCGAAAACCATATCCTACACTTGAAACATTGAATAAGGAAAAAATCTAATGAAAATTATAAGAAACGCAATGTGCATAAGATAGGCCAATGATTGCCTGAAGGGCATCCTTGGCTGCAATGGCAAACTGATGATTGGAGAACAGCGCGAAACCCATGGGGTGCTCGCCTTTGAAGTTGACCTGAGATGCTTCATAACCTGGTAGCCACCTAAGAAGGTTCTGGAGCTCCCTCTCCTTCACGTCCTCCGGCAGCCCAGAGATGAATACAGTTCGCACCTAAAATCCAAGCATCATAACGCGCCAAAATTAACGCGCGCGAAACAGCAAAAGAGAATATTTTATTGCGTCCGCTGTTACCTCGTCTCCAATGAGATTATTAGGGTCGTTGAGAGGCATTGGTGAAGGCTGAGGAAGAGCGTGAAGATGTGGAGGAGGAGGTGGTGGCGCCGCGGCGGGAGGTGGGGCTGGAGCCCATTGCTGGTGATATGGGTGCATCCCGTCCATCTATCAGGAATCAATTGATCGATTCTTAAAAAACCCTAAAAAGGTAGGCGAATCGAATGCAAGCAGTTCTTCAAGGTGCTTTTATGCTGAGATTTATCTTGGGGCCCATAGTTTATGAAGGGAAATACTTCGTAATACGTAGTACCGTATGTAGTAATAACTGTATTTTTTAAAAAATATACTCCGTAATCCGTATTGTATTTTATCAAGAAGAAATCTCATTAATTACTCTTTAAAATGTGGTGGAGAAAATATTGCACAGTAATTAGTAATGACTATAATTGTGTTAAAACCTATATCATAGTAGTTACATATAAATTTCTACGATGTAAACTTTGAACTTAATTATGATGTTTTTGCTTAGACTGAAATTTACTGGTATAGTTTGATTTTCTTTAAGTTTGGTTAGGTCTGAATTGGTCTGATCTGATAATGTCTGGTCTTTGTGTATTTCATAATTGTGGACGTCTGGTTTGATCTGTGTCTGAAAACAGTCCACGTAAAAACATCATATAATCACCAATTGTTATGTAGTAGTAGTACGAAGTATTATTGTTGTCCATGACATTTTTATTAGTACCATTAAAAAAACTTCATATTATCAATATTTAAGGAGAAGCAAGAACAACTAACATGGGATGATTTGGGTGATCGGAAGAGAAGACGCTTATGGGAGTGAGATGCAGGAGAATGAAGATCAAAATGGCGATTGTATGGCTCTCGCTGAGCCAAATAATGGGGAGTTGGTGCCTGGTGGGTGATGGTAAGAGCATCTATAATACTCCCTCCGTCCCGCTAACAATGGGACAAAAGGGAGTGACACGCAAATTAATAAAAAGTGATTTATGTGGTTGATAATGAATTGATAAAGTAAGAATGATTTAGAGCCACACAAACTTTGCCAAATTTGGTATGAGACAATCTTAGTGGGACGGACCGATAAGGTAAAACGGGGCAATCATAGCGGGACGGAGGTAGTACCTAGTTATACACATTAGTTTTGCTTGTTAGGTCAGTTTTTTCTATTTAATTTATTTTTCAGTAACCTGATAGTCTGATGGTTAGCTACGATGATTGCCTCTTGAATAGGCCCCACAAATCAATCAATCTTGAAAGTATACATTTTGAATGAATTGATTTACGGGAAAAGAGTGAAATAGGCTCTCTAATTAACTTAAAAAGTGCAAATCATTACTTATATTGGAGACTTTGTCCGGTCAACGTCATTTGTGATGGTTACTGGTGGAATTTTTTGATGAATTTTTTGAGCATGTTCTTAATTAAGTCCAATTTACTCATACCAAATTTCAGCTAAAAATTCAATCAGGAAGGCAGTCAAATGAATTTTTGAAGATAACTGCGCAGTTAAACAGCACAGTACATTTCAGAAGTTCATTTGACTGTCTTCCCGGGTGAATTTTTATCAGAAATTTGACATGGATAAAATAGACTTAATGAAGAAGATGTTCAAAACATTTTATCAAAAAAATCCACCGGAAACCGCCCAAAATGGTGACGGCCGCACATAAACTTCTATATAAGGAGTGATTTGCACTTTTTAAATTAGTTCGAGGGCCTATTTGATCTTTTTCTTTTGATTTATTAACACAACATATCACAGTATAATTTTTTAGCGTGAAACAGTAATTCATTCATACAAGTTTTTGCATAGAAAACTATGTCAAAAACATTTTCACTTATAATTATGGTGGATTATTTGAGTTGTGATTGTGATTGAGTTGTTTCTTGTCCACTTATATAATTAAAAAAATAAGTTCATAACCAATCACATAAACTAGTTTGAGGGTGTTGCGTCCATAGGGTAGTTAATTCATTTATTAAATTCAATTTATGCACAAGTTTTGTGGAATTGCATTTTTTATTGGCAAATTATTGCTTTTTTTATCACACTACACACCATTAGAATCTAGTGCAGAAGATAGATGGAACCAAAAGATAAAAAAAAAAACTCAAACAACTTTAGAGTCCAAAAAAGAGTCATGTGAAATTGAAGAGCTATTGTACTATTGCATTATAATAATGAGGTCAGTTAACTATTGAGATGCAATCAAGTGATCAAGATGAAACTTATCATGAGAAAATAATTATATGGCAAAGGAGATATACCAAACATGAGTTTTTCTGTTATCCAGATTAACTAATCTCATATGACTCACATAACTATGAAAATATGTACACATCCATGTACATATATCTATCCAATCCCATCTATCTAACAACAGATCAAAATACAACACTGCATGTATGTCTATATACTTGAAAAACTTCTTAGCTCCCTCTTTCTCTCAGCATCAACAAACCAGCATGCCTGCAAATACACCAACCACATTAGTAAGTCATAAGGAGTGAATTGTGTTTAAAAAGAAAAATAGAGACACAACATCAAAAAGTAAAGAAAAATTCTAGACTCTCACATTCTTTCTCACCAAATCTAATATAGATACTCTTGAATCTTAAATATATTTTAATTAATAAATAAATTCAACATTATTTATCTATGTTTACCGTTTGATAACAAAGTTGGTTCATAAGTGGGAAAAAGCTTTCTAAACGGGCTTTAAAAGATGTTTTTAACTGACTTGGTTTCAGTCTCAGATTCAGATCATACTTAAATAAACTAGAACATATCAGATCAGACTTCAATAGTTATAAAATACACATAATACATACATTTTCCAAATAAGATTAGACCAAAATATACCAAAACCGGTTCAGATAAAAAAGTATCAATCTAATTAGAAACATTTTCAACCAAAATGTTTCTCATAATTGGTTTAAGGTGACAACTTCTATACCTTTCTAAAAAATGGGGTACCGTACCTATCATTCATTTGATTGGAGCACATCACTTTATCATTTTTAATTTAGATTTAAATAATTCAACTGTCATATTCTCATTGGTCCATGTGGACAAAGGTATGATACGTTATGAGTACCGTGGTAAGAGGGTGTATACACAATTTTTTAATGAATGGTGATAAAATTGAATTCAACCAAACCAAGCTACCCATTAATAAAGTCTATACGTGTTATATATTGACAGTAAAAATAACAATACGGAGTAAATATTAATGAATGCGGAGTAAAAATATTATTACCGTCCTAGCATGAGAAGAGTAGCTTGAGGATTTGTCCCCGGAGAAACAGTAAAAGTGGAGCCGTCGATGATTCTCAGGCTATCAATTCCGATCATTCTCAGATCTCCATCCACCACTCTGCCCACAACACAGCCGCCGTGATAATGCCATATCGTACTCACAGTCCGACGGCAAAACTCCGCCATGAGAGCATCGCTTGATTGGTTCACCGGCAACGCCGGTCCAACGTACCGGAAATCCCTTCCGCCGAATCTCTGATCAAATTTGTAAACCTCCATTGATCGAGTGTTCAGCAAATCCCCGAGCTTCCTGGTCCCGTTGACGCACCTCTGCAAATCCCCAGGGTCGCTGAAGTAATTGAATCGGACCACCGGGTTGACCCTGACATCTGGCGAAGCCAGTCTGAGTGACCCGACGGAAGCCGGGCCGGAAATTTTCTGCATAAGGGTCGCCACGGCCAGGTAGACCGGTGACGCCGGAGCTCTGATGAAGATTGAGTTGATGGGGGAAGCGAAGGGGATGAAATTGGAGGCGGCTTCGAGGTAAGAGCCGGTTCCGGTGATGCCCACCACCTGTATGAGAGAATACTCCAAAGGGATTGGAGGGACGATTGAGATTCCATTTCTGGGATTGTCGTAGACGAACTGTCCGACGTATGGTGAGTGGTGGGCGACGGGGATTCCCAGAGAAGAGAGGTATAATCTCGGTCCGATTCCGCTAAGTAGAAGCAGCTGCGGGCTGCCCAGAGCTCCGGCGGTCAGCAGAACCTCGCCGTTATCCTTCACCATCGCGTGGTGGAACTGCCCGATCCGGTCACGGAAAATCACCCCAATCGCGGCTTGTTTGGATTCCGGCGAAGCGGAGGTTGCCGCCAGAAGAATCCTCTCCACGTAGGCGTACACGACCACCCGGATGTTGCTGGAGTTTGAGAAGAACAGTAGGTCCGCCGCGCTGTGACGGCGGCCGGAGTTGTCGAAGGTGGAGGCACCAATTTTGGTGCCAAGAACGTGGTGTAATGTGAACCCATTGTAAGGGTCGATCCGGGCTTCCAGCATCCCATCCCTCACCGCCGATTGCCAGCTCTTGAGCTCCGGCCGGAAAACGATGGACCTCTCCACCCACTCGTACGACTGGTTCACCAAATTGAAATCCCAGTTAATCCCAGATCTTGCGTAGAACTCTTCGTCGGCTCTGCTGTAGAACCCGGCGTTAATGGCGCTACTGCCGCCGAGAACGCGGCCGCGCGCGTTTGGGACGCCATCTTCGGATATAAATGTCTGGGCGGGAGAGTCAAAGGCGTCGACTTCGGATAAGGCGGCCAGAAACCCCTCTTGGGTCATCAAGTTGGGATTCCCAAACGGAACGCCGCCTCTTTCAAGAACCAGGACCTTATATCTCTCCGACAACGTCGCCGCCAGGGGACAACCGGCGGTTCCACCTCCGACGACGATGTAGTCATAGTAGTCCTCTGACGGCATCTCTACTGCATCCACCACAAAATCCATATAAAAGGAATCTGTAAATGCGAAGAAGAGAAAAAAAATCAAGACTTTGAATCACGGTAATGATATATAGTTTCGGCGCAGAAAAGAATCTTGATTCAACCGGAAAATCAAGAAACGATAAAGATCGGGAAATATGTGATGTGATTTGCTCCGGGATTAAATTAAATGAGAATGATTACCTTGTTGAGAGAGTGAGTTGGGCAGCGAGATGAGGGTGAACAGAAAAAGGAAACCGAGTTGGATGAGTTGAATCAATTTATCCATTGTTGCAACGATGATGATGGTGAAGGCTATATCTAGGGCAACAATGGCGGAAGTGAGGAGCCTCCCTCTTTTTTGGCGGGAAATCCCGTTGGGTTTGAATAGTCCGAATCTATAGACTGGTCGAAGAAAAACTGAGCGGTGGTGGCAGGTAGTAGTTGGGATGGCTCCGCCCAAACTCATTCTTAAGTTTGCCGGAGGAGCTTATTCATTTCGAACCCATTCTAAAAGGTTCATATAAACCCAAAAGATTTTTTAAGTACGAAAAAACATGCCCCAATCGCTGGATATATTTGGATATATTAATATAATTAGCTCATAAAAATCGGGGTGTTACACAAACGGGCTCTATAATGCGTAGTATTTGTGTTTATTCTATGAAATGGTAGAAGTAGATCAAACTAGATAAAATCAAATCAGATTTAGACAATTGTATATAAAACGCTCATATAAAAAAGAACACGTTCAATTAAAAACACTCTCTACATACTACAACATACTTTGTGTTGATATCAAGTCCTCAGACTCCAAGAGCCCAACGCGTTCTTTCTTTTCTGGGTATATTAGCGAGTATATGACAATAAAGCAAACCAAAATGGTGAAGGTAAAATGTGTCAGGTCCTATACTAGAGTAATTAACTAGCAAGTAGATAACAATAGATAACACACTAATATCGAGCCCAAGCCCCTAATACATAATAATATCTAATTATAGGCCGAGAGTTTAGAAAAGGCATATAGAAAGAAGTTATGATATTAAATGCAAATTTCTAAATATTTTACAATGAAATAAATGTAAGTATTTATACTACAAGGTAGTATGTGAGATAATGAGATTGTGACGTAGCTAGCCTGAGTGACTAACCCCCGAATGGAGTATATTGACACGCACCCTAGGATATCAACATTTATGAGTAAAGGATCTCCAGAATCCACCAAGTCCAAAACTGCCCAAGACCGATTCTCATGTCATCGAGCTAAGTTCAAAACTGCACCTGAGGTCGAGGTTGACCCTAGTTGAGGTTGACAACAACTCTAACCCTACAGCTGAGCTTGAAGTCAATTGGCACCTTACATTGTTAAAAGGTCGACAAAAGCACCACTGTCACATTATGAGTTGAGGTTACCCCTCTCATATCTAACACACGCCACACCGAGTTCAACCTCTCTTACCGAGCTCAAGAGTCCGTACAAATATTGTGGATTTAAACATTTCAACATTTGAATTCCACATACATGAATGAGTGCGTCATCGGCATGACAACTAAGACCGATTCTCATGTCATCGAGCTAAGTTCAAAACTACACCCGAGGTCGAGGTTGGCCCTAGTCGAGGTTGACAATAACCCTAACCCTATAACCGAGCTTGAAGTCAATTGGCACCTTACATTGTTAAAAGGTTGACAAAAGCATCACTGTCACATTATGAGTTGAGGTTACCCCTCTCATATCTAACACACGCCACACCCGAGTTCAACCTCTCTCACCGAGCTCAAGAGCCCGTACAAATATCGTGGATTTAAACATTTCAGCATTTGAATTCCACATACACGAATGATTGCGTCATCGGCATGACAACTACCTAGGGCTGACGTCATTCTGACTATTACACACAAAAGAATTCAGGCTTACACGTGTGGTTTACCTACACATTCCAGTACGAAAAGGACAAAGTATGTTGTAACAATACCAATCAACCAACTGTTGATTATTTTCTTACCAGTTATTTTGCACGTGTTAACATTTTATTAGGGTATTTATTTTACTTGTTGCACAAGTATTTCATTTTACAATATTAATATCACTTTCCAACTTCTGGAAAGAGATCACTATTTTCTTACTTTCAAGCTAACTGTTACGTTGCACATTTGTACGTAATTTACACATAGTTTATTTTCGGCTCTCATATCCGAAACATTAAATGTGCTTCTCCCCAATTCCGTGGTAAAGCAGGCCAATTTCACGAAGGCTGCAAATGAGAAAGTTTAAGTGTTACACCGTACCCCGTCTATTGTATCCCGTCCAAGATGTACCGGGCGAGATACGCATCTCGATCGAGCCTAGCCATGACTTTTTTAATCATATTTAAACTTTTGCAGTGTACAAGTAACTTCACTTTAAACAATGTTTGACTAGACAAAGGCTTGAGATTGACACTTTGTAGTGTAAATGAAAAGTGATTAATTCCCCGTCCATTACTAGTTGTTAAAAAAATATTCTCCGCTCTGCGCATTTTTACTTCATCATTTCGTTTAGAGATTCTCATTTACATAATACTACTCACTTTCTGTTAAAGTTTAGTCCCGTAGATCCGAAAGCCCAACACAGACTTTGGATATATCAGAAAATGGAAAATAATTCGGTATGTAAAAGAAATATAAAAGATTGATAATCGAATGCTCAAAAGCCCACTTGTATTAATTGACTTGTTTGATTACAAGGAAATTACCCGAACGGTACGTCGGATTGATGCTTGATACAAGAAACAAGAGTAATAAGGCTATTCTAGGGCTTGAGTCTTAAAATCCTAACCCTTACAATGATATTAAACTTTCTATTTATACTAATGGAGAGTATGGGACGCTTTATGTTGATTGGTCGATGCTCCACCGACTTGATCACTCATGCCTCCACTTGATGATGTCACAATCTGGCATTAATTGCACCTGACCACCTGCTGGTTGTCCGTTGCCCGAACGCGATAATGGCCTCTGTAAAACATTGTTGATTTGACCCAAGTATGATGTATGACCCGAACCCCATTCGGTATGTATGTTTGGGCTAGATGTCCTGGGCCTTTAATCCGGGTATTGGGCCTTCGGGTCAATATCCCAACACGAGTCCCTCACTTCCGATGTCTCGAATGACAGTGAGTGCATTAGGAAGTATAAGTGCCATGATATAACTGCCGAATGGCGATCGGGGTACAGAAGTGGTCAGTTCCCCATAATGTGATTTGACGGCTGTCGTTTGAGTTTTCTCATATCCGTCATGATTGTTGATCTTTGCTCTTCCATGTGACGCGTGTTATTTCAAATAGTTCCAGTGACGTGTCTCTATTTGATTGGTGTTTGATACGGCGTTTGTAAGGCTATAAATTAGCCTTTAACTCCTCAAATCCGGGTTTCGAATTTTCAATCTCTTCGTGCTCTCACTCTTCCTTTCCTCTCAATCCCTTCAAGCCTTTCGTGTCCAGGTACTTCTCATCCCTTTAAATCTTTCTCTTCTTCGATCTGATCTTATGAGTTCTCGACTGTGTTCCGATTCAGAAATGGCTTCCTAAGGGGAAGACAATGAAGTGGAAATTATCACTGTTCCTTTTGTTGAGGGCTCCAATGCAGCGACGGCGGAGATTAGGGCGGAAACGGAGGATTCCTCCGGCAGTTCTTCTTCCTCCAGTGAGGATTCCGATGATACCAAGTCTGATGACGAACTGACTTCCATGGCGGCCGGACGTCCCAATGATTTCCCTCGTCACACACTTGACCTAAGACTGATTAGAGAGAGGCGGCAAAAATTGACTTCTCACAACAGGGCCGAAATTTCGGCCCTAATCCCAGACCCAGTGGACATCCGATTGCGAGCTGGGCTTCACCCTATGCGCCATACCCTGGGATGGTTATAGTCCACTTTGATTCAGTTAGGGCCAGCCTTAGGTTTCCATTTCATTCTTTTTTCGTTTCATTTTTTAATTTCTACGAAATTGTACCGGCCCAAGTCATGCCGAACTCCTATCGGGCAATGGCGGGCTTTATTTGTCGTTGTAAAGATGCTGGTGCCCTGCCGACCCTAGACTTGTTTCACCAATTTTTTAAAGTGCCCCCCCAACAAACACATGGATATCTGGCTACTAGTGCCCGAACAGGACATATCCTGTTTAAGGGCAATCCGACTTCAATCAAGTGGTGGAAAGATCGGTTCTTCTTTGTGTTTGTCCCGGACGGCCTGATTCCCCGCAAATGGAATGCCTTCCCTCGCAAATCTCCCGATCCAGTCCTTACTGAGGAAGTTTACAAGGATGTGCTCGCTGTGGAGAAGGACAAATGTGTAGATATCATGAGTTACTTGACTCCCGATCGGCTTATCGAAGCCGGGATAGGTACTGCCCGTTCTCTTGGGTTTACTTGTTTTGAGAAATCAAGTGTCGTGGTCCGGGCGGTCCTTGTCGTGCGAGAAGCGTTCTCTTCTTTTTTGTTCCCCACGTGATAAGGCCGCTCGGTACTAACATTTTCCTTTGTTATTTTCTAGCTCCCAATCCAGACGCACCTATGGACAATAGCCGAGTTCTTGCAGCCGGTGGGGTCGGGAAACGGAAGAAAGCCAGGAAGAACCCCCAACCCACTTCTTCCACTATCATCGCTCAGGATGTCGGGTCTTCTCAATCCGTTCAGGAGCCCCAACCAATTCAACAGGTCCCTCATCAGGACCAATTTGATGTCATGCTGGTCGATGATCGGTTCGGATCTGATCAGCTGCATCAATTCCCTGAGCATTTCCAGGCTGCTCAGGAGACTAATATGACTGCAGGTGAGACCAACACTGTCCACCTTGCTACACAGGTCGACCGGATCTCTCTGGCGGATCCAGTTCATGACATGTTGGAGAAATCTGGTTCTCTTGCAAGCCAGATTTGGTCCACCTCTTCATGGTTCAACAACTTCGTCGTCCCTAAGATGTCGGTCGAGCAATCCGAAGAATGCTTGGCTTTGGCGGCTCTGAAGGTATCTCATTTTTTCCTTATAGTTTTCTCATAGTTTAAATTCTGTTTTACACCGTCTCATTTCTCGAATGACATTCTGCAGGTTGGGCTCTACAGTCTGCAGCTGAATGAGGCTCGACTGGCTAAAGAGCGGGACCTGATCGTCGCTCAGACTTCTGCGGAGCAGAATGCGGCTGCTACCTTTGCCGCTTTGGAGACAGAACGGAAGGCCTCAGTGGAGGAGAAGAGACGCCTTGAGTCAGATCTTGGTGAGCTCAGGGTTCAGCTCGGGGCCTTCCAATCCAAAGTTCACGCTGCTGAAGCTGCTTTGGTGAAGTTCGAAGAGAGCGCTCCCCGTATCCCGGACGGCCCTGCTGAGGTGAAGGTTGATCTATCCGCCATCCGGGAAGCATTCAAAGGGTCTGAAGAGTTTGCTTCCCTGAAGAAAGATTATGCACAACAGGAACTCCCGGCCACCTTCGGTGCTTATCTCGATCGATTCTCCACGGGTGATGCCCGCCGCAGCGAGGGGGTTAAACTGCTCGACCATGATCCAAGGGGCAAAAAATTCA